AACAACCACAACCACAACCACAACCGCAACCCCAACCACAACCACAACAACACCAACAACAACAACACCAACAATCTCGTTTGGGATAACTACCCGGCGGCCCAGCGACCCAAAACACGCACGAGCGGCAGCTGAAGGAAGCAGCGCGGCAGTGTCCTGGCGGTGCCGCCGCTGTGCCCGCAGACCTGAGCACGGGCAAGCCACGAGGGGGGAGGAGGGAAAGGACGCGCCAGAGGAGAGGGAATGACGGGTAGGACGAAGAGGGTGAATGAATGAACGAGCCCCATCGCGATGCGCTCTGAATCAACAACACAGCCTAAGCCGAACTACGAGGACCTCGCTCGGTTCGATGGACGACTCTGACCTTTGGGCCATTGCCCATCCTCAGATGAGGGGGGGAGGGGAGACGGGGGACGAAGGGAAAGGGGGAGAGAGGAGAGGGGGGGGAGAGATGGAAGGGGGCGAGAAAGGGAGGTGGGGGAGAGGGAACGGGGGGGGGAACATAAGCCCCCAGCTTTTCGTCCCCCCTTCTCATCCTCCTTCTCAACACTACTTCCTCCACAACCTCCGCATGCCCACACAGGGAAAAAGAAAAGGCCCAGACCACAGACGCCCAACGTGGGAGAAAACACTCACGCAGCAGGGCGCGGGGCCGAAAATAACAAGCCGTGCGCCCCACGATCTCCGATGTCGTGAATTGTGAACCACGTGCCCCCCCATAGGTCTGCACCCAGCTTTCCAGAGGGGCAACGAAGGGGGGGGCTGACATGGGGGGGGTCATGTGAACTTGGAATCGGCGATACATCGCCGATTGATCGGCGATAGGCCTCCGACAGTGAATCTGCACGCTCCTGGTCAGGTTGGGGCTATCGGGCCCCTATCGGCGATCAATGGGCGATTGGGGGTGGATGCATCCCCGCCCCCGTGCCTGTCGCCCCCCGTCGTTAGCCCTGATGTCCATCCCAAGTAGTTTTCTGAACGGGCCGCCATCGGCCGAACATGATAAAACACCTTCTGTCGCGATTTTTGCCAGGGCACGAGGAGGTTAGGGCACCAACGTGGTTTTGCCTGGCGCCGTCCGCGGCCCGCGGCGACCCTCGGCTCTTGGTCGTCGTCGTCCTCCTCCTCCTGCTCATCTTCCGCCTCCTCGTCATCGTCGTCACCTCGTCATCGCCGTCGTCGTCGAGGCACGACATTTCCTCTCCCCGGATGCGCTGCACACGCAGGGGTCTTAGCAGCAAGGCGCACGGGCAAGGCAAAGGAGATGCAGCGGGGGAGCGGGGAGGGAATACAGGCGCGCGCCTGGGCGGAACTTTTCTGCCGCAGCAGCAAGTCCTCACCGCGTGAGGCAGCCGTGGGATGCATGGGGCCAAGTTGGCACAGCAGGCGGCGGGAAGAGGTTCGCGAGGGTCGGGGCCGAACACGCGCATCTCAGGAACACGAAGCAGCTCGGATTATCAGACGTCCGCGAGGATTTCTTAGGCCAGCCCTGGACCCCCTCCCCTGGCTGGCGCGGGGAGCGCGTCCGTGGCGCTCCTCCTCCTCTTCCTCCTCCTCCCAAAAAAGCCGAAGGCGGCTTTTCGTCCCATGCGAGCAAGCTTTGGACTCGCTCGGCCTTGAAGAATCTGATCTCCTTTGGGCTTTGGGTGAAGGCTGGGGGGACGGAGTCTACCAAAAATGGATCGCCTGGCTTGAGGCCCGTCCAGAACCAGGAAAGAAAGGGACCACGATGAGCGCAGAGGACTCCCCAGGGGGCTGAATAGCCATGTCCTCCGCAGTCCCTGGGAGCGGGGGATAGGAGAGAGGGACGACGAAACGGCGGCGAAACTTCCTCCTCCTGGCCTCCCCCTGCCTCTTCCTCTTCCCCCTTTTCCTTCTTCCCTCCTTCTCCTCCCTCCCTCCCTCCCTCCCTCCATCCCTCCCTCCTCCTCCTCCTCCTCCTCCTCCCCTCCTCCTCCCCTCCTCCCCTCCCTCCTCCTCCCCCTCATTCCCTCCTCCTCCTCCTCCTCCTCCCTCCTCCTCCTCCTCCTCCTCCTCCTTCCCTTCCCCTTCCCCTTCCCCTTCCCCTTCCCCTTCCCCTTCCCCTTCCCCTTCCCCTTCCCCTTCACCCGCAACAATACACATTGCGAGGCCGCGCCGCGCGCCAACCCGCGGGCGCCCCTGAGGCGCCCGCGTGCACCTCGCAGGCAGCGCCGTCCGTGGCCTGGGTTCTGGGCCGAGGCGCTCCGTGGCAGAGGGCGGGGGGCGGTGGCGGGAGCGCGGCCGGATCCCGGTGCCGCCCGCTTCCGATCATGCTGCCTCCAGCTTGGCACCGCTCGGACGCGTGCATGCGTCCTCGGCGAGGACCATCGAGGTGCCTGGTTAGTCATCTTGCCATAAAATACACGCACGAGGCCGAACAGGGCACGGGAAGTGGACGTCCGAGCCATGGCAAGCCAGAGGTCCTGTATGGGGCAATATGATCGGCAACATGATCGAAGCTTGTCCACACAGAAAATCAAAAGAGAAAAAGGTACCGATACCACTACCCTTGCCACGTTCTCGCCTTCTGGGGACTCCTCGGAGGCCCTCGTCGCCATCGCTGGATTCGCCTCGCGATTCTGGTCAGACCGCGTTCCACTACTCGCTAAAGAAACTGCTCGCAAATGGCCTGAATCTGCCGCGGGGGATCTAAGATCCATTACATCGAGGCGAACATGTGTTTTTGTTGGGACGTTTGCGAGCAGGCACTTTGCGATACACTCGACCAGGATAGTAAGGATGCGCGGCAAGGATGCAAGGACCTTGGAACGCCATGTTGACGTTTCCCGTTCGGAGCGCAGCAGAATGCCGAAGGATGCCGAATACCGAATGGGCAAGGATGCAAGGGTAGCCTTGGAAAGTTGCCCCATCTTTACTATCATGGCTGACTGTACTGTGCGAGTACAGGAACGCGCTCTGTGAGTACCCCGTGGCACGGAGGTGGCCCTCGTGCCAGGTGAGGCCTGCCAGGCTGCTGCAGCAGACGCGGCAGCTGCTGCGGCGGCCCCCCTGCCATCGCTCGGACGCTCATCCCCCGTGCATGCTGGTTGGCTCTCGTGCGTATCTTTGTTCGCCAGCTGGCCCAGGTTGCTCCTGGAGGGTCCTCGCCGAGAAATAGCGCACACTTTTTGTTGTTGCCATCGCAGCGGAGCCCAGCGGCGAGAGGAGGGAGAGAACGATAAGACAACGACGGCGGCAGAGCCGAGGGGGCGGAGGGAAAAAGAGGGCGAGGGGGCAGAAGCCCACGCCCACGCTCGGACGCTCGTTCCCCGTGCCTGTTGGTTGGCTTTCGCGCGTACTTGTTTCGCCAGCTGGCCCAGGTTGCTCCTGGACAGGGGGCCACATGCGAACCCTACCCCTACCCCCCATGATTTCTGAGGTGGAGGGTGGGGTTCACTTCGCTCAGGAGCTCCCTCCCGAACGAGGTGGAAGGCCCTCGCCCAGAAACAGAAACGCACACGTCCGGAGCGATGCCGGGGTGCCCCGTGCTGCTGCGGCCGCTCCTCGGCCTCCCAGGGCAGGGGGGGGGGGGGCAGCCTCCCCCGCGCCCTTCCCCCCCCCTCCCCCCCCGCCCTCCCCGCCCTCCGGCGACGCTCGAGGGCGGGGCCCCGAGGGGTGGGTGCCCACGGGCGCCAGACGGGCCAATCGCCTCCCTGAGACGGCCCAAGACCCAAGAAGCCCGAGGCGGCCCCCAAGATGCACCCTAGAGGCACCCGAGGAGGCGCCGAGGAGGCGCCCAAGAGACCCCAAGAGGGCCCCAAGAAGTTTTCTCCTCCTTGTCCTCATGTTCTCCCTCTCCTCCTCCTCCTCCTCCTCCTCCTCCTCCTCCTCCTCCTCCCTCCTCCTCCTCCTCGTCCTCCTCCCTCCTCCTCCTCCTCCTCCTCCTCCTCCTCCTCCTCCTCCTGCTCCTCCTCCTGCTCCTCCTCCCCCTCCTTACCGCGCGAACGACGACGATGTCGGGATCACGACCCTTCCAAGTTCAGACCACTCGCTGAACTGCCGCGGGGTGTGAACTCGACCTCCTTCCTACCGCGAAAACGAAAACGAGGTCGAGACTCCAACCCGTCCTTATCCTACGGATTGTCGGGATTGCGCTGCTCCTACACTCAGTCTTCTTCCTGCAGCGCTGTTGCACAAGCACGGTGGCGGAGTTCGTCGCAGGCAGCTGGATTTTTCTATCACTACGCAGACGGCTGGCGAACTCCTGAGCCCGAAATTTGGAGCAACGACCCTCGGGCTTGAGGACACAGGGCGCCGGGCTGGGACAGGTGGACCAGAAGCATGTGCGCACATGGGCGCCGCGTAGACCTGCATGCGTAGAGTTAGAAGCGCGGTTTGACAAAGAATCTGCCGTTCCTGGCCCGCGTGGGCTCGCTCCTTGCCCTCTCCCGAGCTGGGCCCCCCCTGCTTGCGTGCATCCTGGGGGTCAGAACTACTGGATGGGCAGGAGGGTGAGGCAACAGGGGAGCACAGGATGAGAGAACAAGATCAGACTGTTTTGGTGGGCTGTTCCCCGTGGTCCCGGCGGTTGCGGTCAAGATTGTCTCGTGCCAGCGACTTACCCCCCAATGTTCCATACGTGGCCACTGGCAAGGACGCCCCTCCGACCCGCAGGCGCATGCAGGCAGCCGCCTGGGCCAGTGCGGACGCCAGCGTGCGCGCGTAGGGCTCGTACAGGGTGCCGTTGGCACAGAAGCCGACGGTGAGGCTATCGCCTCGGGTGCGCGACGCCGGCGCGCTCGCGGCAGAGGGGGGCCGACGTGCAAACTGTGCCGTGCTCGGGTGCCGAGGGCCCACCAAACCAAGCCACTGCCAAAGGGGCCCTGGGACCCACGCGCACGCACACACACACACACACACACACTCACACACACACACACACACACACACACGCTCCGTAGCCATTTTGGCTCAAGCCGTACTCGCCTGTCTTCTCTCGGTTTTGGCCCGCGGGCGCCAGAGCGTCGGCCTCTTGAGGAATGGCTGCGGTCGGCTGCCGAGCCACCCCCGCCGAGGCGGCGGCCGAGCAGCCATCCCGCGCATCCCGCGCTGGCGCCCCTGGCGGCTCGCTCTGGCCCGCTCGCCGCGCCAGGCGCGCCGCGGCGCGGGCGGCAGAGTGCGGGCGCTTGGCCGCTGCCTTGGAGCGCGTGGGCGTGCTCGAAGCGGAGCTGGCCGCAGTCCGCAGCCTCCACGCGACGGCGGCAGGGCAAGCGCTCCGCATCTCCTCCCCGCGGCTCGGGGAAGTCGAGGCTGGTGCGACGCTGCTCCAAGAGCTCGTCACCAGGCTCTCACTTGCTGTCCCAGTTCTCCTGGACATGCTCGCGCAGGGTGCCGAGGGCCAGGAGGGCGGCGGTGGGCGGGCGGGTGCCTCGGGTGGCCCTCCATCATCGCATGCACCTGTGACCAGCGGCCTCCCGAGCAGCGATTCGGGAGCGAAGCCAGTTCTCGGCTGCACGGTTCCGCCTTGCGGCGCGCTCCCCGCCAGCGCGCCAGGCGGCCCGACAGGCGGGCAGGCGGTTCACGACTGCAAGTTCGGCGACGGCGGCGACGCAGGTCGGCCCCATGGCGCGCTCCCTGCCAGAAGGCCAGACGGCCCTGCTCGCGGCGACGCATCGGCGGACATGGGCACTGAGGCGAGCGGCGCGCCTGGCGCCCAGCCCGCCCCGCCCGTGCCCCGCGCCAAGGCGCTGGAGGCTGCCAGGCGCAATGCTGGCCTCCACTGCGCAGCGCGGCGTGGCACATCCATCGCTGCCATGCGGTTGCGGTCGCTCAATCGGCTGCAGCGTGGACGGCGCGCGGCTCCGAGGCGCGGCGACCGGCGGTCGAGCCCGGCAGCCAGCGCCCCGCCCCACCGGCGCCACCCCGCGGCTCGGTCTGCGGCCGAGGGCGTCTCGACTGACTGGAAGGTCGCCTGCAGGCGCGGGCGCAGCCTCCCAGCGGGCTTGCGCCTCGACCTGGCCGAGCGGGCGCGCGGGGAGCCAACGCCCGAGCCAGCTCCGCTGGCCTCGGGACCCCGCTGGTGGCACTTGGAGCTCGACGGAGAGCACCTGCACGACGGCACGGCGCGGTCGAAGCAGTGTGACGTGCCCTCCGCCGAGCCTGTCAAGCCGCCCCACGTGGTCCAGTTCGGGAGCAAGCCGAAGGAGCGGGAGAGCATTGCATCAGGCTCCGTGCTCTCGGCTGGCGGCTCGAACAAGGAGGAGGGCTTCGAGGAGCAGGGCTTCGAGGAGCAGGACGTCGGCGGGCCTTTCGGTGACGCACCTGCGGGAGTGGCTTCGGTGGACCCCCCCCCCTTTTGGGGGGGGCACAGCCAGGAGGGTACCCCGCGAGGGCGCCCCTGGTGATGCCGCATACCGCAGATAGACGTCAGGTGGCCCGCCTGCGGCTCGCAGTGCTGCGGCGGCACGTGGCGGATAGCAGCCGAGCGAGCGTCAACAGCCGCGACCTCCGACGGCCTGGATGGCAGGCGGCAGATGCAGGCGCCGAGGATCCCTCCCCGATGTCGCCTGCTGAGCGCCGCGCTGGGCTAGCCTGGATCCGTGGTATTCTCAATGGTCATGAGGACTTGTTCGTGGATTTCATCGGCTAGGGGTCACGGCTTGACCTTGGGCTGAGAGCATTGCGGGCCCAAGCATTGTTGTGCCATTCAGTGTGCACGTTATGTGAGGTCTTCTTGGTCTCACGTACGGTATTCCGGATCATCAGGCGCTGTTGCGCCCCATTTTTCACGCGGGTGTTTCATGCTCTCTCACTCGTGTGTGCTATTCATACACACGCTTCGCGTGGCCTTGCCTCCAGAGTGTTGTGTTTTTCGCACGCTTCGCGTGCCCTCGCTTGCGAGCGAGCCGCCGTGCCTCTGCTGTGGCGTGGGCTGTGGGGTCCTGCCGTGGTGTTGCCTGGCGCGTCGATCGGGCCGAGGGGCTTGGTCTTGGCGGCCCTGGAGGCTGCTGTGTGTACAGCTTGGCTGTGCGCACTTGCGCGAGTTTAAACACACACACACACGCACATACACACACACACACGCACCAACGCCAAGTCTGATCAAATGGATGCTGCGCCCTTTGGCGAACGTGCTGTGCTACAGAGCCAGGCCATATCACAATATAGGTGATCCCGATACATTCGCCACCGTTTTGAGCATTCTGGACATGATGGCGCCGATCTTCAGGAGATTCATGGCGGCAGCCGCGCGACCACACCGACCTATGGAGTCGAATGTTAGGGCCGAAATGGTCAGACGCGGAGCCACCGTGGCTTTGCTACGGCAGCGGTATTGGCGCGCGCAAAAAGTTCTGACACCGGGTCGATCATTCAACCTCGAGTCGATCGCAGCCGCGATCGTTCGAGGTTGACTTCCGTCGGGTCCTGTGGCGTCACCGTGCCCCTCTGTGCTTCCACGTCGTCCGATCACTCGAAGATCAAGTTTGAACGCCGGTCGCGCTCCACCATTTAGCGTGTATGTGATTTCGGGCCTTGCGAATACGAGGGCGTTGACACGCTAAGCAGCGCAAGGGCGTGCATGCTGAGTAGGGTCGGGTGAAACAGCCCTCAGATATACACGCTGAGCGCTCCAAGACGCTAAGCACCCGAAGACGCGAAGTAAAACACGCATTAGACATTGTGAATTGGAGTACGAAAGAGAAAGGCACAATAAGAGGGACGAGGACGTGAAAGAAGCAAGGCACCAGCTTGAACGCCTTCGCCGGCGACGCCGGCGCGCCATCGCCGCATGAACCTACCGTACACGCACACGCACACGCACACGCACACACACACACACACACACACCGTGGCTACACACGCCTTCTGAGAGGCCATGGGAATGATCAATCCCCGCGAATACGCGTCCTGGGGAGGCACGCACGTTAGTTGCCAGCACAAACAAGACAGAGGTCAAGACGAAAGGGAGGGGTAGCGAAGGGTAGTTTAGGGACTCGGCTGCGTGCCGCTGGTTCCCCAGCGGAGCGACAGGAGGCGCCAGGCGTGAGCGCGCAGAGGAACGCAGTGGGCGGCGGGGCAGCAGTTCTCGCACCCCTCCTTCTCCCAACCCACACCCTTCGTTCCCCTGGCAGTGACAATGACAGAACCAGCATGAGTGTCCACGCGAGGGGGCTATATACTGGGACGGGGGTGGAGCGCCCCCCAAAAAGATATGTGTGTGTATATATATATATATATAGTGGTCGGCGGTGCCCCGCGGCACGAACCCCCCCCCGCCTTCCCGGAGGGGTTCGTACAAGGCGCGCCGGGTGCCGCCGACGGCCTTGGAACCCCCTCTTCTCCGTCTTTCCCGGGGGTTTTGTGCCGGGCACATCGGCGACCCCCCGTGGGGTGGGCGCGATGCCCCCCCACTAGGCGTGGCGTGGTGGCCCCCCCCAGCCCCCCGCGGGCGCGGGGTGGCGGTGGTGGCGGTCGTCCTCGCGGTCGTCGTCGTCGTCGTCGTCGTCGCGCTCGTCGTCGTCGTCGTCGTCGTCGTCGTCGTCGTCGCCAGCGTCGTTGTCGCGGCGAGGAGTGCGATGGAGCGGGGATGAATCGGGAAGAGCGCCGAAGAGGGCGATGGAGTGGGGAGGAGTCTGGGGCAACTGGGAGGGAAGCCGCGGAATGCGACGGAGTGGGGGGGGAGATTGAAGGAGCGGGGGGGGGGAGTGCCGAGGATTAAGATGGAGTGGGGAAGAGGCGGGAAGAGTGCCGAGGGGGGCCGAAGACTGCGATGGAGTGGGGAAGAGTCGGGAGGAGCGGTGAGGATTGCCGAAGAGTGCGACGGAGTGGGGAGGAGTTGGAGGAAGGGTGGGGAGCCCCAGAGAGACCTCCGGGGAACTGCGGAAAGCCGGCCCCCTTACTTCTGGGAAGCTCCGAGAACGTCCGGCCCCCTAATTACTTCCGGGAAGCTTCTGGCGCTGCGGGGGCCTCCGGGGATCTCTGGATGTCGTCGTCGCCGTCACCGACGCCGCCGTCGCCGACGCCGAAGCCGACGCCGCCGCTGGACGCTCGCACGCGCTGCCCGGGCGCTGCCCCGCGCTCTGGCCATCCTGGGGGGGTTCGTATTGGGGCGCACCGGCCCAAAGGGGTTTCGTGCATCCCGGGGGAATTCGTACCGGCCTGCACCGGCGGTGCGGCCAGCACGAAACCCCCAGGACGAGCGATTCTGGGGGGGGGGGGGGCGCTCCGCACCGGGCACCGCCGACATATATATATATATATATATATATATATATATATATATATACTAGAACCACGCGCGCGCTTCGCGCGCGCTTAGGTTCTAGTTTGCTCCGAAAACGGTGTTCGCAAGCACGGGTCCGATTCCGTGGCGATTCGCGGGAAATCTACGTCCGAAAATGACGTGTTGCCAGAGGCAGGTCCGCGGATGCTTTAATGCAACGTGTCCAGTGTATCCAACGATTGCATACTTGTTACATATGCTACATATTGTATTGTTCTGCAATATTATGCCCCCCCCCCTTGGAGCCGCGCCACATCGTCGGACCAAATCTGGAGGGCCTCATTCTGGGCCTCAAAACATAGAAAGACCTATGGAAAATCAACAATTTCGGCCTCTTGGGCCTCTTGGGACTCCAAGAGGGCCTCAAGATGGCCGACGATGGCCCCAAGACAGCCCAAGACGGCCTCAAGACGGCCCAAAATGGCCCCAAGAGGGCCCATGAGGCTCCCAAGAAGATCCACGAGAGCACTCAAACCCGAACAATCTTTCCATGACACCCTCACCCTTAGACCCGAACCTTGAGACCGAAGACCCGAGCCCAGAAATCGAACCCGAACGCCTCAACATCTCAAATGAAGAGGCTCATCCCCGCTCCACCGTTTCCTCCTTCCTTCTGAATCCTTCCTTCTTCCACTTGCTCAAACTCCTCCTCCTCCTCCTCCTCCTCCTCCTCCTCCTCCTCCTCCTCATCGCCCTCCTCCTCCCACTCCTCCTCCTCCTCCTCCTCCTCCTCCTCCTCCTCCTCCTCCTCCTTCTCCTCCTTCTCCCCCTCCTCCTCCTCCTCCTCCTCCCTCCTCCTCCTCCTTCTCCTCCTTCTCCTCCTCATCCCCGTCCCTCCCCTCCCCCTCCTCGTCCTCCCCATCCCCCTCCAATGCGCCGGGCCGGGCATGGTATGGAAACTGCCTTCGCCGACTCTCTGCCGCCTTGCCTCTTGGGGCCTCTTTGGGGCCTCTTAGGCACCTCTTGGAAGCCTCTTGGGGGCCTCTTGGGGGCCTCTTGGGGCATCCTGGGGCCTTCTTGGGGTTGTCTTGGGGCCCTCTCGGGCCGTCTTGGGGGCCTCTTTGGCCGTCTTGGCGCCCTCTCGGGCCGTCTTGGGCGCCTCTTGGGAACCTCTTGGGCCGTCTTGGGCGGACTGGGAGGCCCGGGGGCCGCCCGAGGAGCGTCCCAGGAAGCCCTCCTAGGCCCTCTTAGCGCTGTCCTCAGGCGTCCTGGGGCGTCCTTGGGCGCCTCCTGGGGCTGTCTGACAACTCGGACAGCCAAGGGATGAGATATCCTAAAAATGTACGTTTTACGAAGGGAATGGGGCCATTTTGGTTTCCCGGGGCGCTCTTGGGGGGCCTCTTGGAGGCCTCTTGGGGCGGTTTGATGGCCTCTTGTCCCTTCTGGAAGCGATCTTTGGCGGTCTTGAAGCGATCCTGGGCTTCTCTCGGCGCTCTTGGAGCCTTCTTTGGCGGACTGGGAGGCCCGGGGGCCGCCCGAGGAGCGTCCCGGGAGGCCTTCCTGGGCTGTCTTCGGGCTATCCTAGGGCGCCTCGTGGGGCTTTCGGACCGCTCCGACAGCCAAGGGAGCTGATATCCTAAAAATGTACGTTTTACGAAGGGAATGGGGCCATTTTGGTTTCCCGGGGCGCTCTTGGGGGGCCTCTTGGAGGCCTCTTGGGGCGGTTTGATGGCCTCTTGGCCCTTCTGGAAGCGATCTTTTGCGGTCTTGAAGCGATCCTGGGGTTCTCTCGGCGCTCTTGGAGCCTTCTTGGGCGGACTGGGCAGCCCGGGGGCCGCCGGAGGAGCGTCCCGGGAGGCCCTCCTGGGCCGTCTTGGGGCTGTCCTCAGTCGTCCTGGAGCGTCCTTGGGCGCCTCGTGGGGCTTTCTGGCCGCTCCGACAGCTAAGGGAGCTGATATCGTAAAAATGTACGTTTTACGAAGGGAATGGGGCTATTTTGGTCTCCCGGGGCGCTCGTGGGGGGCCTCTTGAAGGCCTCTTGGGGCGGTTTGAGCGCCTCTTGACCCTTCTGGAAGCGATCTTTGGCGGTCTTGAAGCGATCCTGGGGTTCTCTCGGCGCTCCTGGAGCCCTCTTGGGCGGGCTGGAACGCGCGGGGGCCGCCGGAAGGGCGCCCCGGGAGAGGGCCGCACCCTATATACAAGGGAGGTTCCGGCCCGGGGCCCGGGGCCCGGGATCTCCCATATATGTATATATATATATATATATATATATATATATATATATATATAATATATATATATATATACATACATACACACACATATGCGCGCATGTACACATAATTCTATAACATTATATATAAATGGGGGGCGGGGCATCGTCCAGGACGCGGAAAACTGGGCTCGAGCTCACTCTACGCTGGTGG